TAATTCAAGTCCGGTGCAAAAACGCATGATCGCACGGGCCCGTCCGGTGCGTTCCAGCCTGGGTTTATAATGAGCTACCGTAATGAGTTTTTGTCTCACCATAATGAGTTTTTGATCTGTGCAGAAATGCATCAAAAAAAAAATACCGCAACTAAAGAATTTTACAAGAAAAAAACCGCTAGAGCTAGTGGGAACCCCATGTTAGTGACGTTACCAAGGCGCTCTCACATGCCAAGTGCAGCTTTACCGATTTCTTCGATCTTGGCTGCATGTGTCCAGTCTCTACCAACGCCGGTTCAATGTATGTGTGACGCATATCTTAGAAGGCCTTGCAAGTACCACTCACAATTACAAACTACTAACAAAGAGTGAATAATTGTTATAAAAACCTCTAGCCTACTGAAACTTCCAGAAATAATCGTAACACGCATACCGAACATTCTTGAGCGCGTCACGATCTTGTTTGCACGGGGTATAACCGATACTTGAATGACTGCACACAATGAACAGCGTCATCACCAGGAAGACAGTGTTACAGAGTATCACTATCACCACCGGTCCAGCAAACGCCAGAATGAAGTAGTTGTCCGATCTCAACCAGCAATACCGCTCCGTACCGTAGCTAAACCGATCAAACCAGACGGATGTTGCAACAACTGCTAGCGGGAATCCTAAAATCGAAAAAGTTTTATGGAAATTTTCAGCTCCTTTGGATGATGGAAAATTTGCTCTTTTCAAGAATTGCTTTGCAACGGACAGGAAAAGCGCGTTCCTGCTCAATTTCGAATAACTCACTGAATACTGCACCTGTGTGGCTTACTTTCGAGCGTTTAATTACGGTTTTTATAAGAATTTAACGCCCAACTGTGTGAAACTGAAAAAGAGTCACCTCCATCACCTCCTTTTAACGGATCTAGTCCTCACACCGCCTTTTAATGGATTTTTAGCAAATCTAGCGAATCTTTAAATCAACTTCGCAATTGCCTCTTACCGTAGCCAAACAGAAGAAATAGCGGCCTTTTGGAATCTTTCGTCTGGAAAACTTCAACAAGCATATAGTACAGCTCGAAACCTTCCAGCAACATCCATGCAAAAGCAGCAAGGAAGAAGTAATGCAACACACCGGCAATTATGCTGCAGCATAACTGAAATGCACAGGTGATCAGTGGTAAGAACGAAAGGCCAGATAAACAGCGACGCGAGCTGGAAACCGCTCAAAGTAGCGTTTTACTTGAATTCAAAAGAGAAGTAGCGTTTTACTTGAATTTTTTTTAAAATTAGTATCTTGCACATACTCTGCTTTAGTTCGAAACTAAGTCAGTTTTGGAGCTTCCCAACACAGTTTAAGCCTCAAAAGGCTTCAGATTGCTTTTGAAGCAAACTATCCACAGCACAGCCAGGAGACGAAGACGTGCTAGTAAAGCTGCCTTCTCAGCATCAAATCGGGAGCTTAGAACGCCCCCCCCCCTCTCTCTCCAAATTATTCCTTTAAAAAATCGGTTAGTGCATGCTTGGCTCTGGTGTATGAGGGCAATTCCAGTGACTTCACAGAAGTCGGATAGCCTCAAATAAATGGTTTAGTACAAAAAATTGAAAATATTCGCTGAATATAAAAACAGCACTGACAAAAATTATAATATTAAAACTTAGAATCTTAATCAAAAGCAATATACAACAACTGTACCTTAGGACTTATTTTTCAAAATATACTCCAGTACGGTTTATCCATTACTGAAATAAGTTGCTCAATTTGCTCACTTTTTGAGTCGCAAATCTTTCACAACTGCTTTTGCAATTTTTTTCACATTTCGTGAAGCTTTTTTTCTGTTATTAACAAACAAAATGAACAACAGAGTGGTACCGAATGTTTAGTTTGCCAGATGCCACCCAGAAAAACCGCCTCAGCAATCAGCAGTGAGAAACATAAATTTTTATGGATGAAAATTCGATCGCCACCACTTGTACCGAAACACTGGAATGCAAACAGCGACAGCAGCAGGCAGATTATCGACAGTGTACATCCAAAATATGTAACGAAAGTAAGCGCCACGCTGTGGCCAATCGAGAGCTGCAAAATATGAATTTTTTATGCGTTTTTTGCAGCTATGCAATGCAAAAACGCATGTTGGCGAGGGGTTGTCTGTGTGTCCGTGTGTCTGTGCTTGCGTCTGTCACGCACTTTCATCTCAAGACCTATGAAACCTGCAGGGCTGAAATTTCGGGAAATTAATCTACATGCACGTGCCGGCCCCAACCCCCAAAATTGGCGCCATTACCCGCGTGGTACTTGCGTACGGGCCCGCCAAACTTTTTCGGGGTAAGTTCATAACTCGAAGATCTGAAAAGCTAGAACGCTGAAATCTTAGAGGAATGTTCCCTGTCCAACTGTGTGTTAGTGCGCTGAAACCCATCCCTCGGGTAAGCGTGGCACCCACGTAAGGACCCGCCAAAATTTTTTTCGGGTAATTTCGTAACTTGAGGATCTGAGAAGCTAGAATGCTGGAATCTTAGGGAGATGTTCCCCGTCCAAGTAGGTGTTAATGTAATCAAAACTATCCCCCGGGTAAGCGTGGCACCCGCGTAATGGCGCGCTAAAACTTTTTTTGGGCAATTTCATAACTTGGAGATCTGAGAAGCAAGAATGCTGAAAACTTACGGGGATTTTCCCTATTCAAGTCGATGATAACTTAGGAACCAGGAAAGCTAGAAAGCTGAAATTTTAAGGGGCTGTTTCCTGCGAGTTCTGGCGACCAGTCTTAATCTGTTCAGCTAGAAGCATTTGCCGAGAAAATCAATGCCGGTATCGACAAAAACTGCCGGAAACTAAGCAACCAGGCTGGAACGCACCAGGCGAGCCGGTGCGATCATGCGTTTTTGCACCAGACTTGAA